GTGGTCGAGTAATTAACGGGGTAGATAGATATTTGGGGAGATCGGGTGGTCGAGTAATTAACGGGGTAGATAGATATTTGGGGAGATCGGGTGGTCGAGTAATTAACGGGGTAGATAGATATTTGGGGAGATCGGGTGGTCGAGTAATTAACGGGGTAGATAGATATTTGGGGAGATCGGGTGGTCGAGTAATTAACGGGGTAGATAGATATTTGGGGAGATCGGGTGGTCGAGTAATTAACGGGGTAGATAGATATTTGGGGAGATCGGGTGGTCGAGTAATTAACGGGGTAGATAGATATTTGGGGAGATCGGGTGGTCGAGTAATTAACGGGGTAGATAGATATTTGGGGAGATCGAGTGGCTCATACAGTAAAGGTATGTTTAACAGAATGAAACGAGGGCGACGACTTACTTCTTGTTGCAATCACCTGAAAACTAGGACCAATAATATACTACTTATAAGACAGAAAACAAACGAATTCTGATTAAATGATATTATACTTGTCACAATAGTAACGCCAGAACTCAATGGCGGCGTATAAGATAGAGCTAATTAAATTCACTAATTCGTACGGATCGCTAAAGTGCTAAATGACTGCTTTGATCATTTTTCTTTAAATGAGGTCAAGTGCATCTGCAAAAACTTCCCTGTTGGCAAAGCAGCTGGGTATGATCATATTGTTTATGAGCACTTGATATATGCTAACGACACCTTATACAACTGTTTATGTGTTTTATTTAACGCATTCCACAGGTTAGAGTATGTCCCACTTCAGCTTACAAAAGGTCTGATTTGTACACTGTATAAAAGGTCACAACAAATCTAAGGGTGATCACGATAGTTATCGTGCCATTTCCTTACTTTCTATTATTTAAAAAGGTTTTTTTTGTATTCAATGGTGCGAATATAAACTTCCAAAATGAAGTAACATTATATACTGGGAAATGTTTGCCCTATACACTGATAAAATCCATATTTGCCCGGTGTGAATTTGGCCCTTCACATTTACGATTTAGGGTAAACCGTGTACTTATATTCACTGTCACGATGATTTCGCCCTTGTTGCGAAAATTAAGCGGCAGCAAATTCTCCCGGTAAACAGTGATCTGATATCTCCATGCATAAATAACTACGTATACAGCAACACTGATGCATTGCAAGCAAATTCGCAAGAATGTTTTTGGAGGTCATACGAATTTTGAGGCAGACATTATCAAATCCATATAACTGTTATATTATTACGTTACCGTGTGACAAATGATGGCATACAAAAAGATAAACCATGATCATCTATCAAAATAAACGATACTAAAAGAAGGAAATAAATTAAAGACAAACTCAAAGGATCAACATGTTTCCTCTCTAATTAATAAACATCCATTTATCATTTCACTATAAAAAAAACTTGCGTACAAGTCCACGGAATACCAACCAACCACAATCCAGAACCTAATTCAATTAAGAAACCAACATCAAAATCAAAAGGTATCACATCTACACGAAGACAAACCATGAATTATATATGTGTCTGTTCATGACACAAATATTTAAAACTACTTTTTGTGAACATGTGTCGAGTGATTATGATTTCTTTACTTAGTAATATCTAAACTGTTAATGTGAAACTACTATTCACTAACAGTTTAAGGAGTTTTCTTGATGCAGTATAAATCATCGAAATTAAACAAAGTCAAAACTCTCAATAAAATGGAAATTGCTATCAATTTTTATTATACAATCGGTCTTGTTTTGGCAAATTGTAAAGTGGAAAGAAATCCAGGAAAATACCATAGATGTAAGAACTGGCATCAGTAATAATAACTATGATAATAAGCTGCATATCAAGTATATGCCATCCTTGTTTTTGTTCCAAAATGAAATATGCAAGTGAACTTCTCAGTAACTAACTACTCATTGTTATATTTTTGTGACCCAAACAGCAGAACCTATTTTACACTTGATGATAAATTGCTTTGTAAACATAGAAAATATGTGTGTACTATAAAGGCAACTACAAGCACGTACCCTATCAAACATCCTCAATCTCAATGACTGTCTCTAATTTTTAGGACTATGTGTAATGACAATACATTTTTAAATATTGACACATCAAAAGCAAAGGTGGAAAAAATATGTATAGCACTGCAATGACTTTAAATTATCACTGATTACAGCAACATGGGTTACCATTATACTCCATTAACCTTTTTTCAATTTTCAGCAAGGGAGTTAATTATAATCGTTACTGTGCATGCTCATCATATGAAATCTAGACACACATTTTCTTTTCTCCAAAAAAACCTCTCAGTTGATGGAAACAAGGTCACAGTCAATTATTCATGTGTAAAGCATAATTTTACAATACTTGCCAACATTTTAAAATGTTCATGGAGAGAAAACGCATACCCAGAATTAAAAGCATAACTAAAATGCGTGTATGTACACCCTAACTGTTAAATGAAAATAACTGTTTTAATTAGCATCTCTAGAGCAGTATCATCAAAGCTCAGAAAATAGGAATAGCAATTCAGTTTTAGTGTCCAAATCGGGTCTCCCTCCAAAAATTAAATAGGGAGAGTTGGCAAGTATGTTTTACAAGAAAATCAAATTCGGCACACTTCTTTCCATATTTTAACGCAAAAACATGCGTAGCTCTTTTCAAACGTCTTTGAGACCTTGATCTACAAACTGAAACTGGTCACGTGCGATCTTTTCCAATATGGCTGCGGCCAGTAAAAGTGTGGTTAGTGACCCGAATTCGACAGATACTTGGCCTAAATGGCAAGTAGCGCTCGCTATCGGTGCTCCTTTAGCAGTCGTCATTGGGGGATTATGGGTATACAGGCGGAGCAAACGAAAGGATGCCAAGTCATCTCCCAAGAAACAAGATGGGAGAGATAACACCGCGTCTCCACCGAAGACCGGCAAAGATAAAAGCTCGACACCATCTCCAACGAAACCGGCGTCTATTCCAGACGAGGTAAATTTGACCGTTTGCTGAATTGATACCTTGAAGCTGGATATTTATGTTTTCATAGTAATAAATTATGAAACAAATTGAATATTTGTATTTGAACTGTTTAGCATGACATGTCCTTCAAATCCGAATAACCTCCAGGCTGTAGCATACAGAACACCAACATTCTTCCTTCTAAGTAACCGCAGTACGACACAGGCAATCCTTCTCTTCAAAATTGTAAACGGACTAGTGCAATACTTGTGGATGACTACCTAAAACCACAGGTACCTTAGAACTTGTTACAGTTATATTTGGACCTAAATATAAACTAAGGTGTTTAGAGTAATTTTACAAGTTTAAGGGGTTTAGGTAAAAATGTCACCCCCAATGATGATAATATATGAGAAGGGAGGAAAGTTCTCGGATGTCAAAGAATCGACGGCACATAAATTAATCGCATCAACATCCACATTTCTAGTTGATATAAAAGAGTGCTTAGTACCCTTGGAAAAATAGGTAATTTTTCTTTACATTTTTTTAAAACTCCTATATTGACGTAAAATATATTTTTGTTCCACAGATATGATCTCTGTTTCCTCAACAACACTTGCCATTTCCGAGTTTCTAAGTTTTTCGCAGTCATAGAAGCATGTTTTGTATACGCAAGAGGTTGACATCAGCCATGTGCCGTTGATTGACTGGTTATTTAAGGGAAAAAAAGGCTACGACGCTTCCAGCCACTTAAACCACAGTTTTCGGCATGTGGCTTACGTCAACCTCATGAATATACAAGAAGTGGATCTATGACTGTGAAAAACTTTGAACAAAATATCCATCTTTCCAACAGTACTTAGCATATATTATTGTACATCTAAGCCCCTAAAATTTGTAACATTACTCTAAAACACAACATCAACTAGTAAACAAAATTGTCAAAATCTTCTAACATTACAAGCAATAGAACTCAAAATATTGAGTGCATTTGTTGCTGAGTGAGTTCCAAATCAAGTATCTTCAGAACTTTTTAGGTCAAAGACTGGAACTCCAGCCTTGGACTAGCTAAATGAGCTCAAAACCAATATTTACACAACGTCACTCAGATGTCTTTAGAACCATATAACCACTCTCTGCCCCGGGATGAGATATTCAGCCCTGAGTTTTTCCCAAATCATACAACATATTTCGGATATTAGCAAAAATCTGAAAAGTCACAGATTCTGAAAGTATTATTTTGAAGTGTTGATAGTTGCTTTTAAAATAAACATTAACAATACCATGAGACAAACTCAACTTTTATCAATATTTCATCGTCCTCCACATCTCTGTGTGGCTTTTCTTTAGTACTCCACATCTCTGTGTGGGGAATGAGTTTTCTTTAGTACTCCACATCTCCGTGTGGCTTTTCTTTAGTACTCCAAATCTCTGTGTGGGGAATGACTTTTCTTCAGTACTCCACATCTCTGTATGGCTTTTCTTTAGTACTCCTCATCTCTGTGTGGGGAATGACTTTTCTTCAGTACTCCACATCTCTGTATGGCTTTTCTTTAGTACTCCTCATCTCTGTGTGGGGAATGACTTTTCTTTAGTATTCCACATCTCTGTGTGGCCTTTCTTTAGTACTCCACATCTCTCTGTGGGTAATGGCTTTTCTTTAGTACTCCTCATCTCTGTGTGGGGAATGACTTTTCTTTTGTATTCCACATCTCTGTGTGGCTTTTCTTTCGTACTCCACATCTCTGTGTGGGGATTGGCTTTTCTTTAGTACTCCAAATCTCTGTGTGGGGAATGACTTTTCTTCAGTACTAGTACTCCACATCTCTGTGTGGGAAATGACTTTTCTTTAGTACTTCACATCTCTGTGTGGGGAATGTGTTTTCTTTAGTACTCAACATCTCTGTGTGGGGAATGGGTTTTCTTTAATACTCCACATCTCTGTGTGGGAAATGACTTTTCTTTAGTACTTCACATCTCTGTGTGGGGAATGAGTTTTCTTCAGTACTCCACATCTCTGTGTGGGGAATGGGTTTTCTTTAGTATTCCACATCTCTGTGTGGCTTTTCTATAGTCCACCACATCTCTGTGTGGGGAATTACTTTTCTTCAGTACTCCACATCTCTGTGTGGGGAATGGGTTTTCTTTAATACTCCACATCTCTGTGTGGGGATTGGCTTTTCTTTAGTACTCCACATGTCTGTGTGGGGAATGGCTTTTTTTTAGTACTCCACATCTCTGTGTCGCTTTTCTTTAGTACTCCACATCACTGTGTGGGGAATGGCTTTTCTTTTGTATTCCATGTCATGGTCTGGGGAATGGCTTTTCTTTAGTATTCCATCATCTCTGTGTGGCTTTTCTTTCGTACTCCACATCTCTGTGTGGCTTTTGTTTAGTACTCCACATCTCTGTGAGGGGAATGGCTTTTCTTTAGTATTCCATCATCTCTGTGTGGCTTTTCTTTCGTACTCCACATCTCTGTGTGGGGAATGGGTTTTCTTTAGTACTTCACATCTCTGTGTGGGGAATGACTTTTCTTTTGTATTCCACATCTCTGTGTGGCCTTTCTTTAGTACTCCACATCTCAAGAAAAGCCATTCCCCACATCTCTGTGTGGGGAATGTGTTTTCTTTAGTACTCAACATCTCTGTGTGGGGAATGGGTTTTCTTTAATACTCCACATCTCTGTGTGGGGATTGGCTTTTCTTTAGTACTCCACTTCTTTGTTTGGTGAGTGGCTGGTCTTTAGTACTCCACATCTCTCTGTGCGGAATGGCTTTTCTTTAGTACTTCACATCTCTGTGTGGGGAATGAGTTTTCTTCAGTACTCCACATCTCTGTATGGCTTTTCTTTAGTACTCCTTTTAAAATAAACATTAACAATACCATGAGACAAACTCAACTTTTATCAATATTTCATCGTCCTCCACATCTCTGTGTGGCTTTTGTTTAGTACTCCACATCTCTGTGTGGCGTTTCTTTAGTACTCCACATCTCAAGAAAAGCCATTCCCCACATCTCTGTGTGGGGAATGGGTTTTCTTTAATACTCCACATCTCTGTGTGGTGAATGGGTTTTCTTTAGTACTCAACATCTCTGTGTGGGGAATGGGTTTTCTTTAGTATTCCACATCTCTGTGTGGCTTTTCTATAGTTCACCACATCTCTGTGTGGGGAATGAGTTTTCTTTAGTACACCACATCTCTGTGAGGGGAATGGCTTTTCTTTAGTATTCCCCATCTCTGTGTGGGGAATGGCTTTTCTTTTGTATTCCATGTCATGGTCTGGGGAATGGCTTTTCTTTAGTATTCCATCATCTCTGTGTGGCTTTTCTTTAGTACTGCACATCTCTGTGTGGCTTTTCTAAAGTACACCACATCTCTGTGTGGGGAATGGGTTTTCTTTAGTACTCAACATCTCTGTGTGGGGAATGGGTTTTCTTTAGTACTCAACATCTCTGTGTGGGGAATGGGTTTTCTTTAATACTCCACATCTCTGTGTGGTGAATGGGTTTTCTTTAGTACTCAACATCTCTGTGTGGGGAATGGGTTTTCTTTAATACTCCACATCTCTGTGTGGTGAATGGGTTTTCTTTAGTACTCAACATCTCTGTGTGGGGAATGGGTTTTCTTTAATACTCCACATCTCTGTGTGGGGATTGGCTTTTCTTTAGTACTCCACTTCTTTGTTTGGTGAGTGGCTGGTCTTTAGTACTCCACATCTCTCTGTGCGGAATGGCTTTTCTTTAGTACTTCACATCTCTGTGTGGGGAATGGGTTTTCTTTAGTACTCCACATCTCTCTGTGCGGAATGGCTTTTCTTTAGTACTTCACATCTCTGTGTGGGGAATGGGTTTTCTTTAGTACTCAACATCTCTGTGTGGGGAATGGGTTTTCTTTAGTACTTCACATCTCTGTGTGGGGAATGAGTTTTCTTCAGTACTCCACATCTCTGTGTGGCGTTTCTTTAGTACTCCACATCTCGGAGTGGGGAATGGCTTTTCTTTAGTATTCCATCATCTCTGTGTGGCTTTTCTTTCGTACTCCACATCTCTGTGTGGCGTTTCTTTAGTACTCCACATCTCTCTGTGCGGAATGGCTTTTCTTTAGTACTTCACATCTCTGTGTGGCTTTTCTTTCGTACTCCACATCTCTGTGTGGCTGCTTTTCTTTAGTACTCCACATCTCCGTGTGGCTTTTCTTTAGTACTGCACATCTCTGTGTGGCTTTTCTTTAGTACTCACATCTCTGTGTGGCTTTTCTTTCGTACTCCACATCTCTGTGTGGCTTTTGTTTAGTACTCCACATCTCTGTGAGGGGAATGGCTTTTCTTTAGTACTTCACATCTCTGTGTGGGGAATGGGTTTTCTTTAGTACTTCACATCTCTGTGTGGGGAATGTGTTTTCTTTAGTACTCAACATCTCTGTGTGGGGAATGGGTTTTCTTTAGTACTCAACATCTCTGTGTGGGGAATGGGTTTTCTTTAGTACTCCACATCTCAAGAAAAGCCATTCCCCACATCTCTGTGTGGGGAATGGGTTTTCTTTAATACTCCACATCTCTGTGTGGTGAATGGGTTTTCTTTAGTACTTCACATCTCTGTGTGGGGAATGAGTTTTCTTCAGTACTCCACATCTCTGTATGGCTTTTCTTTAGTACTCCAAATCTCTGTGTGGGGAATGACTTTTCTTTTGTATTCCACATCTCTGAGTGGCTTTTCTTTAGTACTCCACTTCTTTGTTTGGTGAGTGGCTGGTCTTTAGTACTCCACATCTCTGTGAGGGGAATGGCTTTTCTTTAGTATTCCATCATCTCTGTGTGGCTTTTCTTTCGTACTCCACATCTCTGTGTGGGAAATGACTTTTCTTTAGTACTTCACATCTCTGTGTGGGGAATGGGTTTTCTTTAATACTCCACATCTCTGTGTGGTGAATGGGTTTTCTTTAGTACTTCACATCTCTGTGTGGGGAATGAGTTTTCTTCAGTACTCCACATCTGTGTGTGGCTTTTCTTTAGTACTCCACTTCTTTG